GAATGGAGGGAGTATTTTCTTGTCACTAATTTTTAGTATATTTGAAAAGTTTGCACGACTTATGTCACATTCGTTATCACACTCGCTCAACACAAGTACATTATATCTGATAATATCAATATTCAACCTATGGAAAAATCCAAGTGATCTGGTTGGAAATGGTCTGAGTCGAAGTCATGATCGAACAATATGCTTATTTGATAAGCGTGATTAAGAAATAAGGTCTTTAGTATCAGCTATAATTTTTGACATATAATAGTAAGTGCTTGATATATTGTAACAAATGATACTAGAGTCAAGATTCAAAATTATATTCCCAAAAACAGCATATTGCATGTGCCATGTGGTGTTGAGAGGGTCGAAGATTAATATTATTGTGTAAAGCCAACATCCTATCTACGACGAAACAAGTCGTAACATACACACATCTCAACTAAAAAGGGCAAAAGGCAACAAAAGAGTTACAATATGCCTACAAAAGAACAGATATGGGTCATCATGCCACTGTTGCAAAACCAAAAATCTTCTTGTGTCTACCATTTTTCTGTCCTTATAATCAACCATTAAATTTTTTACAATAAGTGTAATAATACAATAAATATCCTATATATTATTAGAAAAATAAGAAATTAGCATTGGATAAAATTTCATAGTTAATCTTATGCTAATATTTCTTTTTGCTATAGACTAGTGACGGATTATAAATAAATTCAAGATATAGAAGCTATTTAGCGATAAATTAACTAGAAATTAATGATAAATTACGTAGCTTATTTCATGTTTTCTAATAGTATATGCCTTTCAAAATCATTTTGGTCCAAGACATTCCAATAATTGAGCATTTACTAATGGTTAAGGGGTCCATTAATAACTAGGAATGTGTCCATTATTGCATATACTCCATTAATAGGGTCAGATTTCTAATATGGTTAGATTATTAGTTTAGAAAGTTATATATTTAAATTTTAAATTATTTTAATTAAAAAAAAGTTACTTTATGAGATAATAATTAGAATTGAATGACCATTTGAAAAATCATTGTCCATTTATCATATGAATCATTTGTACTGAAAATAAGTTATGACGCAGTATAATAATTAATAATGCATAAATTATTTTTTATCGGATATTTGATTTGTTGTATAAAAAAATGGTTTGAGGAGACTCACAAGAGTATGTTTGGCATTCTTAATGTTTTATACATGTATAACAAAAGGGAAAAGAGCCAAATTTGAGATAAAAAGATAACGTTAAAACACTTATAAGCCAATAAACTAACGAAGAGCAAATATGAGACAATCACAAACGGTAAGGGTATTTTTGACATTTTTTCATATTTTATATAGTTATTTGTATATTCAATTTTAGTGTAATGAACAAAATACCCAATAAAAAGTAATTTATGTATTATAAATTATCCATATTTATTTGTCTTCTTATCAAATGTTACCTCGTATATACATTCAAAACTTCGAAATGGAGATATTCAATACTAGGGTCGGGTATAAAGTATCGAAAATTTAATAATCTAATCGAATGAAATTTTTGGTAATTTGGTATTCGGTATTCAATATGGTATTCGGGAGTAAAATTTTAAAATTATGGTATTCGGGTTTAGATTTGGTATGAGACATTAGTATCATTTGGTATTTGGTATTTCTAAATACCAAATTATTTATTTAATGAAGGTCATATTATCGAATACCATACCAAAACAAAGTTTGATTTACTGTTTACCGAACTACCGAATCAAAATTTAAAAATTTGACATTTGATATCTAGTTTTAACTACCAATACCAAATTACTGAATCCGAAATTTGATAAACCCAAATCGAATGCCGAACCCCCACCCCTATTCAATACTAATACTTATACTTAAAAGAAGTTTTCCATGTTTTGTAGAAAGAAAGCAAAGAACATTAATCATTTACAAGTTTCCTTTTGGTCTTTTTCTTTATCCAAATTTTATTTTTTAGAGGGGGTGGGGTAAAGGAAATTCAACATTTAGGGCCATTCGAACATGTGATATAAATTATGATATGAAGTTGAATTTTTGTTTAAACATGCAATTGAATTTTCTAAATTGTATTACTTTTATCATAAATTGAAAACTTCACAAGTTGTAAAAACTATCAAAATTTTCAAATTCATATTCAATCTTACTAAATGAGCAAATCATAATTCATAATTTAAATTAATATTTTATGACACCGCATTAATAAATCACATATATTCATATTCTTTTTATAAATAAATGTTTGAACTTCTAACTATGCATATATAATATCTTCACGATAATCGAGCATTAGTCTCTTTTTTTTAACAAAATTTAAACAATGAATCTTTTTTTATATATACATTTAAAAAAAATTGAAATCATGATTTATAATTTTCAAATCATACTTTTTGAAGAATTTTGAGATAACAAGTCACATATCTAAACGTTAACTTAAAATCATAACCTTAAATCAATCACATATCTAAAACACAAACTTAAAATTTATTTATTAATACATACAAATTTTAAGTTATTTTTTTTTATCATAATTAAATGAAGGAAGAAATCCAAATTTTCCTTTATTTGTAATCCTTTTTTTTTGCATCTTTTTTGAGGGGCCTCAAAACATTGAAATTTTGTCCAAATTTGAGACCCCATGCTTAGTTGCAAGTTGTTGAGACAAGAGGTGGTCACACTTTAAACTTTTTAGTCCTTTGCTTTTTACCTACCCATCCCTATCTCTCTTGGCAAGGGACCTTAATCAATTAAAATTTAAATTTTATACGCTGACAGTATATATAATATAATTTTTCTCATAATATCATATTAAGTTAGATTTACAATATTAGATGATTTTTCATAACTTTTATTAATATAATGCTTATCCTAACATATCAAAACGCTTAATTAGACTATTAGTTCAAGAGTTTATAATATAGCAGTAGCAATCAATTTTCCACAAGGAAAAAAAAAGAGAACTTTATTATAGTAATCCTATCGTTTATTTTTACTTGTTCGTAATGAACATTGCATTACCTTTAAGAAAATAATAATTAAACATAAGAAAGTTGCTCAGATGATATAATCATCCTTCAATTCCAAATCTGCGGTTGTGAATTTGAGTCATGATCAAGAAGCAAAGAAGGGTGAAAGCTTTTACGAAAGGATAAAAAGTAAAATTAGTAGTTAATTTTAAAAGTAAAACATGGACAAAAGGGGATTACATGAAAGATAAAAATCCTCCGACTCCAACTCTAAGATTGTGAGTTCGAGTCACAAAAAAAACAAAATGATACAAACTTCTAGCTAGAGATAAAATTAAACAAATAGAAATAAACAAAAAGTGTAATTTCTATCCCCATAAAGATAGAAAGATCATTTCCGATCAAAATAATCACTAAATAAATACACTTGGCTTTTGCAAGTTGTGGTGTATCTATAGAAAACAGTTGGCAAGACAGCTAACTGCTTCTTTTTTTTTAGTGAATAAAAGGAAAATGATTTGATTTTATACACCAATATATATTTTTTTTAAATCATTAATATATTTCTATCTATTCAGCTAATAATTTATCTTACTTTTTAATTAATAATTCTTTTTTTGAGCTACTAGTATCTCTGTCAGCTTAGAAAACTTAAACTGAAAAAAAGATACTTAAATTTGGAAGTGGCAATATACTAATTTTTCGTTTTAAAATAAGTGATGTTTGAGAATTTCACGAAGGAATTGATTTTATTCTTTCAAAATTACCCTAATTTTAATACATAAATTTTACATTAATAAAGCACCACATTGTCTTTCCTTAAAGCATTAAATTAACGATAAGTTAATAAAAATACTCCTTATTTTCTTAGAATTATATTTTAAGAAATGTGTCCAAAAAATACTGCTTATTTTGAGACAAAAGGAGTATTAATATAGTCATAAACCCACACATTGATACAGATAATAGAGACAAAAAAGACTAATCACGAGTAATTAAAGTAGAGTCCGTTAATTAATTATTTAGAGGTTAAATCAAATCCAAGTGGCTAAAATAATGACAATAAAAGGTCCAAAATTTCAAGATTTAATAATTGTGGTGAAATAAATTGTAGTCACGAGCCGCCTCTAGGGTAGTAACACACGTGAACTATGTAAATCATTTTTTGTAATATTAATAATGTAATCCCTCTGTTTATTTTTACTTGTCACAATTCGATTTGACAGCATACCTATTAAGAAAATAATTAATGATATAAGTATTTTACCAAACTATCCCTTATTAAATGATGTCTTAGAAAATAATTTGGAAAATAAATATTTTAATCTTGAGGGTAAAACATGAAAAAAAAAATTGGTTTTTTCCTGATATGTCAAAAGTGACAAGTAAAAATAAAAATGTATTTTAGGAATAAGTGACAAGTAAAAGTGAACAGAGGAAGTAATTCAAAGCGGAGGTAGAATTTTAGTTACAAAAATTCTAAAATTCTTGATGATCATCTATTTGTGAAGGTTAATAAGTTTCACATGTTAAGTGCATGTTTTTATTTATTACAAAGGTACTTTTTGAATTGGTGTCAAAAGAAATTCTGCTTTTTAAAATTTTGGTATATAGTCAAACACAATCACATAATAGAAAAAATATATATTTCTTGTTGTCATGGTGGATCTAAGTGAATCGAAAGGGATTCAATCCATTTTGGTTGAAAAATAATATTGTGTATATAAGATCAATTTCCTTAACACAAATCAAAAGCTCGATTCAATAATACAGAGGATTAAAATTCTCTTAGACGATACATGTTCATTTCCCACTAATTACACTTTCTTATAATGGTTTTGGCTCTTCGCGTATTTGTTTCTTTAATCTTATAAATTCTCATGACAAAAATTCTGCATCCGCCACTGTTGATTGTCAATAATGAATGTAATGATACCTTTATTTAAAATTCTGAATCCGACTCTATTATTTTACTAGAATCAAAGTTATCTTCACATGCACACTAAGCAACAAAAATTCCCATTCCCTCCCTTGCCCATGCCCCTTTATATAATATGGTACATGCATTAATAGTAAGTAATATTCTTTCTTTCACTTTTCCTCTTTTCTTTTCTTCTCTTTGTTCTTTTGAATTACTTCCAATGAATCTCATCTCTTCTCCAAAATTTTCTTCTTCTTCAACTAAATCATTTTCCTTTAGATTTCTATTATGTCTTTTTTTACTAAATTTTTTTTGTGTACTTTCATTTGCAAGTCTAAGGAGCCATCAATATCAACAAAATCATAAAAAGCCAATTATGATTTTGGCAAATTTAACATCATGTTCTTTGTTTATGGGTAGTTGGGTTTATGATGAAACTTATCCATTGTATCAATCTTCATCTTGCCCAATTATTGATTCACAATTTAATTGTCAAATGTATGGAAGACCAGACACTGATTACCTCAAATATAGATGGAAACCAACAAATTGTGAAATTCCAAGGTAGCCTTGCAAAACTCTGTAAAAATTTATGTTACTATATGTTGTTTCTTGTACTTTTTTTTTAGACTGTTTTTCTTGAGTTGATGATCTATAGGAAACAATCTTTTTCACCACTGAGGTAGACATAAAGTTTGACTGATCCCACTTGATGGGACTATATTGAGTATGTTGTTGTTGTATAATGTTGATGGTAAAATGACTTTTTACAATGTCAATGTAATTTAACTTGTTTATGTTGCTTATTTTCATGTTACTAGTCAGAAACGGATTCAGAATATGAATTTGATTTGTTTGAGCTTTAGTTCTTGAATAAAGTTTTAGGTACTTGCAACTCTGTTTTTTCTTTAATAAAGTTTCAATCTTTGAATGCATTTTGTGTAACTTTAAGTTTTTAAGTTATATGCACTCACAACTTTTAATGATGTCAAATGTAATTTAATTGTATATTCTAGCATAGTTACCTTTTTTCATATTACTAGCTAAAAGCGAATTTAAAAATTTAAATTTGATAAGTTCGACCTTTAGTTCTTGATTTAAGTTTTCAACATTTAAATCTAGTAAGTTCAATTATTAGATTCTTATAATTGAAGTCATTGTACTTTAGAAATTATAAAAAGTTGAACTCACATCTATATTTATAACCGGTGTCAAAATATTGTATTGAGTTGAACCAATCAATTATATACTACATCTCCTATATCACCAATTACCAATTACCAAATCATACTTGTATTTATACTTGACTTTTAATTATTTTTTATTTTTTAAAAATAATTATTTTTTTTAATTTTTTTTTTAGGTTCAATGGTCTAGATTTTTTGTTGAGAATGAGAGGGAAGACAATAATGTATGTTGGAGATTCATTAGGAAGAAACCAATGGCAGTCATTGATTTGTATGATTTCAGCAGCTGTCCCACGAGGAGCTCAAACACAATACATCACGGGTGACCCTCTCTCTACTTACAAATTCTTGGTTAGTCTCCCTTTTATTATATTTGTCGAGTTTTAAGTTATATATACTGACGATATAATAATTATTTTCATATATTATTAATAATTGTAGTTGACTTATGATATAGCAAATTATTAATGTGTGTTGATAAATTACTTGTATTAATGTATTTTATAAGTGATCTAATTACATAAATATTATTTATACGAAGAATGTTTCACTTAAATCAGTATACACTGAGGGGTCCGTTTGGTTTATATGGGATAAGATAGATATTTCAGGATTAAGTTTGAGATTAAATTTATAACTAATGACAGACTAAATTTATACCTTAAACTTGATGTATTTTTTATCCAACCTAAAAGTCAGGATAAATTAGTCTCAAGTTTATAATTTCAGACTAACTTTACCCTGCAAACCAAACAACCCCTAATAGAAAAAGAGAAAATTTTACATATAACTCTGTCCATGATAAACGGGATTAGTAATTTGAAAAATAGGACAAGTAACATATTACAATGTATATTAATATACACCGATAATATAAACATTTTTTACATAGTCAATGTGTCAACTCTTTGTAATATCTAATTCATTCGTTTTAATTTATGTGATATAATCAGAATCAGTATCATTTTACAGGATTATGGAGTGTCAGTGTCATTTTACAGAACACCATATTTAGTAGACATAGACTCAGTGCAAGGCAAGAGAATTCTGAAATTGGATGATATAACTAAGAATTCCAATGCTTGGAGAGGTGTTGATGTCTTGTCTTTCAATACTGGCCATTGGTGGACTCACAAAGGGGCTCTTCAAGGGTAATAATTTATCTCGTCACAATTTACGTGTCTTACTTTCAATTTTGAACATAATATTATATTTTGATCCTTTTATACATGTTTTAAATATTTTATCGGATATCTCTTATCTTTCACCATATCATGTAGATAATTAAGATCCCCACATATTTGAATATCATGTTAGATGTTCTCTCTATTTCAATATTTGTCATTGGTGGACTCAAAAACAGAGGCGGAGTCAAGATTAGGAGTTTGAGGATTCTTTCGAATCCACAACACTATTGTGAAAAGCATTTTCACCTCTCTTCCTTACCACTGAGTTGTTCATCAATTTTATTAGGGAGTTCACAAGTTAATATACATATATATTTATTCAATTTTCTAATACAAATGGATTTACGGAAAAGCTAGTGGGTTCGTCCGAACCCACGAACCCCCACCTAGTTTCGCCTCTACTAAAAAGGCTCATCTCCAAGGGCAATACATATGCCCTACATTCACTTTTTGACATTTATTGCTCAACTTTGTCTCTTCTTTAGAATTTCATTTGGGGGTTGGGGGGGGGGGGGGGGCTTTGTCGGTCACATTTTACATTTTTTATTTTAATTCTATTTATGTGTTTTACTTTCATTTTTAGTCCGTTTATGTTTTCGAATGTCATTTAGTCTTTCATTCCTAGCAGGCACCAGACATAATTGAAAATCCTACATCTTTAATTTTGATATTAAATTAGTCTCACCCAAATAAATAATTTATACTTCCATTTTTAATATGTTTACGTGTCTTACTTTCATTTAGTCTTACCTTCGCCAAATATAATTAAAATTTCCATATTTTTAATTTGAATATCATATTAGTCTCACCCAAATAAAGTTACTTTTTCTTTTCAATTTATTTATCTTACTTTTCTTAGTTTGTTCTAAAACACATATTTTTCTTCCTTTTTTGGTAACTCTTTAATTTTATCTTCCCACACAATATGTTTAAGAACACAAAATTTTAAAAAAAAAATGGATACATTTTATATAATTTTAGTTTAAGATCACAAGATTTAAAAAAATTATTTTTACTTTCTTAAATTTTATGTCAATTCTAAAACAAGAGAATGTTTTTTTTCTAAATTATCATTGGTAAATGCCTGAAAACTGATATTACTATAGTGAACTTTTGAAAAAATGTGAGTATTCCACCTTCTTTTTCAAAAAACTATATAGTTGTGAATCAAATGAAGTTAGAATAATTAATGAAGTGTGATAATGGTTGACATGATCGACTTAAAGGTGGAAATTTAAATTTGGTGAATACTTTTTTAACTTGATTTTCTATTCAATGTGATATTTATATTAAATTTCAACTAAATTTAGTTTTACGATAAAAAAATTTATATTAAAAAGGTAAAATGCTCCTTATAAAAGGAAAACCATATCCAGCAGGACTCGAACCTAAAAATATTGTAATATGCAGGTGGGACTATATGGATTTAGGAGGCAAATTGTATCAAGATATGGATAGGCTAGTGGCATTAGAGAGAGGCTTGAGGACATGGGCAAGATGGATTGATGCTAATATTGACAAAAGTAGAACAAAACTCTTCTTTCAGGGTATTTCACCTACACATTACAAGTATGTCAACTCTCTCTCTCTCTCTAAATTTAATCATCTCTAATCGACTAATTCAGAGTCGTGTTGAATAGGTATACTAATAGGGTACGTAAAATGTTCTTTCTATCGAAAGATTTTTCATTCTTGAAAAATTGAGACATATGGTAAAGATGGAGGTTTCAAAATTGCTTATCGACTCACTTTAGTATTTCTTCCGATCTAAATGAAAATGACAATACTACTTATAAGTATTTTGTATTAAAGAAAACACTCTTCTGAATTTAGAAACAATTTAAAGTGAATTTTTTATTTTGGCCTTAATTAATGGAAAAAACTATTATAATCACATAAATATTAGTCTTACCATATTTAAGATCATAAACTTTTGAAATTTACAACCACACAATTTTTTATATTAAATATTTAAGATTATAAATTTTAAAATATTCTTTTTTTTTATATATAAATTTTGTGTCAAATTGAAAAAGGATAAATATTTTTCTTTTAAAGAAGAAGGTGTAATTGTCAAGGTAAAAAACAAAAAAAACTTTTACTACTAATTTGTTAAGGCCACCTGCCCCATCATAGCTGTCATAAATAATCATAGCTATGAAATTAATTAAGTAGCACTCCAAGTTGGACAAAGCCAACATTAAGTTATTTGAAAAGTATTTTGGATAAGATATGAAGTGGAAATTAAATTTAAAAGAAAACGGTTACTCTCTATTTTAATTTATTTATCTTATTTTAATTTGATACAAAGTGTAAGAAAGTAAAAAAAAATTAAAAAAATTATTGTTTTAGATAAAAAAATATGTTAAATGTTATATCGAATCTTGAGATTATAAATATGTCATGTGGAAAGCTGAAATTAAAGATTTGTTAAAAAGGGGGAAAGAATTTAACAAACTAAAAATAAATATATGACAAAGGGATATTTGTAAAAAAAAAAAAAAAAAACTAATTACGTCAATGATGCATTAAGTATTTCATTGATTAGTTGTAATTCTCACATGATAATGTCTCTTAATAATTGAATGTTCAGTGAGTTTAGTGTTGATTATCGATGACTTCAATGATGCAATACTCCTAATATGTCTAAACTAAAACTTACTGATCAATTGATCTCATAGTGAAAGTAATTTATAATCACACAAATATTCATTACTTATTAGGTTTATTAGCATTATTGTTCACTATGTAAGTGTGTTTAACTCTATATACTTATTGGTGTAATTAGTTGAGACAAGATGAACTAATTAAATCAGTTGTCAAACCGTTTTGTTTGTTAAGACTTAAATAATAAATATTAATAATACAAAGCGTTATTATTGGCCTATTGTAGGAGTAGTTAATTACATGTTTTGTCACTTGTCTGGTTGGTGGCATAGTGACATATCATCATTATGCACTATAAAATAATTCCATTAGTTACCTATTACTTGTTGTAAATTGGGAATAAATAAATAATTTATACTTTTTAGATTAACTTGTTAACACAATCTTACATGGTATTAGAATAAGCAGAAGATATTATAATTTGATCGATGAAATAATTTCATGTGCTTGATATATAAAAAAGAATCGAATATGAACATATATTGTAGTTCTATAATAATGTAATAAATAAACAACTACCTAAACAATTAGAAATTTTAATTGAGGTTGTTAATTTAATATTATACTCTTACCATTTGCAAAAAGCGAACTAACCACTTTTCAACATTGTAACTTCCATTATGAAATTTGAAACTTCACGACAAAGGTTACTTGTGAATTTTATTCTATACTAACACTTTTTTTCAATTATATCAGCCCAAGCGATTGGACCACCGGCACGTCGACCGCGTCATCAGCGAGAACGTGTTACGGTGAGACCGTGCCGATGACGGGCACGGCATATCCGGGCACGTTCCCGGATCAAATGGGGGTGTTGAATGAGGTAATAAGAGACATGAACAACCCTCCATTTATTTTGGACATAACATTTCTATCAGCTATGAGAAAAGATGCACACCCTTCTATCTATAGTGGTGCACTCACTTCAGAGCAAAAGGCAAATCCTGATCACTCTGCTGATTGTAGTCATTGGTGTCTAGCTGGATTGCCTGATACTTGGAATCAACTATTTTACACTGCCCTTTTCTTCTAGGCAGTTAGCATTTGTCACGAATCATGAATAGAAAAGACAAATCTTGTATGATACATCAGATTCAACTGAACAAGTATGAAATCCTTAGTGCGCTTGATACCACATGGTGGCAATTGGTGCAAATTATATTTAGGGAACACATATTTCACATCTACTAAGATCAAACATGTACTTGAGTAAAATTTTATTTTCTATTGGTGTAAATGTTTTTAAGAAAAAGTATCTTGTTCATTTTGTAATTATTCACTTTTTGTTGGTCCATTTTATTGAATTTTGGTTATATGATCCAAATCCATTTCAATGTCATTTTGACAAGTGTTCTCTTTGTAAGCTTTCTTTGCTGAATTATTTGCCTTCTTGATAGTGGTCCAACAGAAAATGGGGCTGTCATTACTAGTTTTGACTTTTATGTTATGTATGATTAAATAGGTCTTTCGCCCTTACGCCTTTATATGTGTAGGAGTGGGGTTGAGAATTAGGTGCATGAAATATTTTGCATTCTCACATGATTCGTGAAAGAATCGCATACAAGGAATGTGATATAAACAGTCTACTCTAATGCAAACATCAATTACCTTTTCATAAGGAGACAATTTTACTATTACTCCAAATCACCCTTCTACGCCTTCAAATAATTGTATATTGAATTAGCCAGATGATAATTATATATTGAATTAGTCAAATCATTCAAAGCATGAACATAATCGCCTTTGTTCAAGTGAGGGGATAGGGTCACAGAGCGATGTACATAGACTCAGAAAGTTGAAACTAGCCAAATCATCTGAAGCAAGAACATAATCGTCTTTATTCAGGTGAGGGGATAGGGTCACAAAGCAATGTAGATTGGACTCAGAAAGTTGAAACTAGCCAAATCATCTGAAGCATGAACATAATCGCCTTTGTTCAGGTGATGGGAGAGTGTCACAAAGCAATGTACATGGACTCAATAAGTTGAAACTAGCCAAATCATCTGAAGCATGAACATAATCGCCTTTGTTCAGGTGAGGGATAGGGTCACAAAGCAATGTACAACGACTCATAAAGTTTGAAACAAGAAGGATAACTATAACCAATATTTTACATATACCAACATTCCAAAGTCCAGAAGGACACTCTATCGTGTCAATAGAGTTGAGGGTAAAAGGAAAAACAGTACAATTATCCACAAACAGCAACTAGATATCAACTTAGAGCCCCCACAACTTGGAACATTAGTGGTGCTCAAGAACTTCAAAACCTCTATATGGTTTTGATCTTTTATTCTAGTTAAAACATTGACCCAATGCTCTTTTATGCAGCAGGATATCTAAAAGACATGTTGCTCCTTCCTATAATAACAACAACAACAATAATACTACTAATATTTCAAACATCAAGTCATGGACAGCAAGAGTAGTGCTAGTTAGCTCCTTATTGTGAGCTCTGTAGCCACGCCCACGCCTACCATCTTTGGCACGTTATTGATGATCGGGGTGTCCAAATTCCCATTAGCAACACTAGATAGATGATTGTCATAAGCAGAGTTATGTACACCGATAGCAGCCCTACCGGAAGGATCAAGGTTGTTTGACCAAGAAGCATCCCACTCAATTGCTTTTGCCGTGCTGCAAGCTATACTCGGTCCTCCAGGAACGGTCAGGCTTGCTGAGTTCTGCAAATCCAACAACCAATATGGTATTAGTGTTTCGAGACACCTTACTACATTTGGGAACTCTACCACTTTAAGCTTTTCATTTTACCCTGGATGAAATATTTTCGTATATGGTACTAGTGTTTTGATTTTAAGAGCTCGCCTGCTTAATATTACCTGTGGGAAGAACCTCTCGAAAATCATTCTGTAATAGTATCCTTCCTTTGTAGTCGGAGTGTTATGTGGGAAGATATGAGCAGCATTAAACATCATCCTATCAGTCACCTAAGAAGAGACACAAATCGTATACAAGATCAGCCGACAGAGTGAAAAAAACAACGAAAACTGAACGATAATGCTTGGAATAGTTTCGGATTTGTGTAGTAAGCTCACATGTTGTTCAGCATGTGCTTTGAGCCCATCGATCCAACTATAGCCTACGCCATCGCTGAATTGTTCTTTCTGCCTGTACAGAATATGCTGCAAAGGCACAAAAAACAGGACAGACATGTTAGTTTTAATCCATAACTACTGGCAAATCAGCACGAAAAATATGACTTCCAACCTTTGGAAGGTACGGTTGCTCCTCATCATCAAACGCCTTCCTAAGAACCCACTTCTCGATCCTTCCTTGGTCATGCTTAATCTAAAATGGACGAAACAAGTTACAGTCAAACCCAAGTACAACACTGTTCCGGTGTGATATCTTTTGGTTGCTATAGCAAAATGTTGTTATAGAGAACATATAATAAAACTTAACATGAATAATCTGATACACAAAAGAACATGGTTGTTTTAGTGAAATGTTGGTATAGAGGATGATTGTTATAAAAAGGTCTGACTGTACAGAGAAAGCATATCGAGTTATACGTCTATTCTCATCAATGATTCGAGCTTAGTTTCTTACCATCTTCCATTCGGGATTGATACTCATGGCAACATCGATGAACTCTTTATCCAGAAATGGTACTCTAGCTTCTAAGCCCCACGCGGATGTTGCCTTGTTTGCTCTTAAACAGTCATACTGGTGAAGCGCTTTTATCTGCGCGTATACATGAAGAACAGGATCAGCATTTTTTTTAACTCGTCCTGTCTCAACGAGGTTCGAAACAAGAAGGCAATATTCCAAGAATGATTTATTACCTTGCGACATGTTTCCGTGTGGAACTCTTCCTTGTTTGGAGCCTTGTGGAAGTACAAGTAGCCACCAAAAATTTCATCAGCGCCTTCCCCTGATATGACCATCTTCACTCCTAGTGATTTAATCTTACGTGACATAAGGAACATAGGAGTGCTGGCTCTTATTGTTGTTACATCATACGTCTCGATATGATATATAACATCTTCAATAGCATCAATCCCGTCCTGCAGAAATGAAACGCATTGTTTGACAACATGAAAACAGAAGGTAATCCCGAGATCAAATAAAAAGTAACACCGCGATTTACAAACCTGAACAGTAAAGTGAAACTCGTGGTGAACGGTTCCTAAAAAGTCAGCAACTTCTTTTGCAGCCTTGAGATCTGGTGAGCCCTGTTCAATCGTAAAACACAAAAATTTATAAATGCACAACTGAAAAATGCAACGGGCACATATAGGTTGAAACCATCAAGTTTAAATTCTTGATCCGCTTCTGGAGTGACTCACCTCGAGACCAACACAGAAGGAATGAAGTTGTGCTCCCCATTGCTTAGCAGCTTTTGTTCCAGCCAAGTATCGAGTAGTGACAGAAGCAACCAAAGACGAATCAAGTCCCCCCGAGAGCAGAACGCCAAAGGGGACATCAGTCATCAACCGTTTGATAACAGCCTACAAAATAACAACCACTCATTAAGATCATTTCTACAGACAGACTTCTCGGGTACTAAGACCCAAAGTCGAAAGGAAAACAGCCTAGATTAATTCATCCCAAACAAAACTAATACCAAATAATAACAAATACTCACATTTTCGAAGGCACGCCTCAGAACCAAAGTGTCATAAGGAGTGGAAGGAATCGCTTCGGAGAACCAAGCGGGATTGTACCATCTCCTAAGCCCTCCGTTCTTGCTAGAGTACAAGTGCCCCGGAGGGAAAACTTCAAAATGTTCACAAGCATCATTCAAGCCCTTCAGCTCAGATGATATCCACACAGAGCCTGTGACACACAATAACATATATCACTTCTAGTTTGTTATGTTGTTCAGACCCTCCAAAAATGCACTCGTGTCGACATTTTTGAAGAGTACGAGCAACATAATTAGTTTCTATTTGGAAAATTTGTACAAAAAATCTTACCATCAAGTCCCCAACCAATATAGAGGGGTGTAATTCCGATGGCATCGCGAGCAGCAAGAAAGCTATTATCGCGAGTATCCAATAATACGAAAGAGAACACTCCATCCAGCATGTCAACAAAATTCTCTCCATATTCTTCATACTGATCAACACATATATTAAAACTCAAGTAAACCAAAAATTACTTGTAAGTTAATTTAACCAGCTTATAAGCGTATCTAAACGCCCGATTTTTCTATTATAATTCACTAGCCTAAGTTGGTTGATAAATAAAGCAAGACTATATACTCACAAGATGAGCAATAACATCACAATCACTTCCAGTCCTAAACTTGTGATTAGGCATAAGTTTTCGAAGTTTTTCATGATTGTAGATCTCTCCATTAACCTGCAAAATTCGACACAAAATTAATCATCAAATAAATTTTTCATCCTTATGTAAGTCTAAAATTATGTTGCTTCCAAACTTTTCAAAAATATCGACTAGTGCCTGCCAGATCCTCCAAAAGTAGCACATTTTCGAAAGACATGACACATACATACACGACTGACAAGTCGACAACATTTTTGAAGAGTCCAAACAATAGTAGAGTAGAGGTGTACTCACAGTAACAACAATTTTTTTGTCTTCATTAAACAGAGGTTGATCACCAGAAGCAGGGTCTATAATTGCTAGACGTTGATGTGCCAAGTAAAAATCACCATATTGAAATATTCCACTCCAATCCGGTCCACGATGCTTCAACCTATTGTTACAAAAATTAATTTTGTATTCAATATCGTCACTTATAAAAGTCGAATACAGAATTTAATCTTTGATAGATTCGACTTTTACTCATTGTACTTTCAAATCTAGTATAATTAAGGTATACTGATTAGAAAAAGTAAACAATAAATTCGATCCATTATTTAAGTAAAGATTCTAATAAATTTTGAATCTGTCTCTTGAAGTTGTCTGGTCTAGACTTGTGAAACAAAAATATCATGTTGTATTAACTATTAAAGCTTTGTTCCCCCATCAACATCAATCATGATGGTTGATCCAAGAAAATTTTAATAATCAATCTAGAGATTTCTTATCCCACGTTAGGAATAAATAATTATCATAAAGTATCCATAAAAAAATTCTAATGTTATTTTTATTCAAGTATCCAAACAATCACTGCCAAGTGTCAACTCGAGTTAGTTACATCAAAATAAACTTTATACTATTTTCCTCTGTCCACATTTAATTGTAATGTTATGTTTCTTGAAAATCAATCTGACTACAAAATTAAATTAGATTACATTAATTCAATTTTGTAAATTAAAAAATTAAATATTAAAAAATCATAAGAAAAATACTATAAATTTCATTTTTTTGCTTATCAATATGATGAAAAAATACATAAACAAAGTT